GAATAAATAAAATCTTTAAAAAATAAAAATATATATATACATAAATGTTAAGGGTTATACCAATATTTTTATTATTTTACTTTATTGTATTGTATTTGTTAAATCCTCACTTGAGGACATTTTTTCATTGCCTTTTGAGAGAGAAGAAGGGGGACAGAGAGAGAAAGCATTTATGTGAGAGAGAAACATTCCTTGGCTGCCTTTTTGTAGGTGCCCTGATCAGGAAGCCAACCCACAAACTGGTTATGTGCTCTGACCTGGGAATTGAACCTGTGACCTTTTTTGTCTATGGGAGGACGCTTGAACCAAGTCACACTGGCCAGGGCTTACAGTTATATTTTTAAACACTAAGTTCGTGTTTAATTTGAAATGTTTTGGACTAAAATATTCTAGATTTTCAACTTCAAGTCATCAGAGTGTTAGAATTTCTTTGGTCATCTTTCATGCTTTAAATATTGAAATATCCACTAAAATCATAATTAATTCTTAGAAAAATGTATCTAGATATTCAACGTCAAAGTAGTTCCAATTGTTACCAACTTGGAGTAGCCAAAAAGAAACAAACAGCAACAAAAAAAGCACCCAGATCTTGACAGACTCCATAAACAGGAGCTGAAAAAGTCGAGAAGTGCCAGGTACATAAAAACTATATTCAAGAGCCTTTTATTTCAAACAAGCAAACCTTTTTATTAAAAATGTCACATTTCTACTTGTGCTAAAATATTTTGCAGAGAAATGCCACATTAAAAAAATTCAGTATGTGAGGAATAATTTGCTGTAAGAGTAATTCTCTGTGGCATTAGGACTATGGAGAAAGTAGTTTAAAGATAAACTATATAAATGTTTAAAAATCATATTATTTCCTTTCCATATGTGGCATAGAACAGACAGATTAGGCTAGCTGTATCATGTATAAGTTGTGGGTTTTTTATTTGTTTGTTTGTTTTTGAGAAATTACCCAACCACTATGAGCCTATTTCTCACTTAGAATTAATGATATACCTAGAAATCTAGTAAAAAGTTTTATGGATGTGTAAGATTTTATCTTTCCTCAGATAAAATTGTATTTTATACACTGCTCTCCAGAGATAGGAAAAGTGTTATCATAATCTATTTTTAAAATAAGCCTTGATGTATTGGTGACCTGTGGTGTTTGGGGTTTTTTTTTTATTTAATTTTTATGTAGTGCTTACTATATGCAATGTACTATTCTAAACATTTTACAAACTTTAACTGATTTAATCTTTACAGGAAACATAAAGTAGGTACTGTAATTATCATCCTCATAGTAAAGTTGAGGGACTGAGGCACAGATGTGTTCGGGGACTAGCCCAAGGTCCACAGCTGGTAAAAGCAAGATCGAGGTCCAGGTAGTTTGGCTCCAGGGTCTATGCTCTTGTTCCACCCGTCCCTATGCATGCCATCTTCCCAGGTAATAGAAGAAAAAACATCAAGCCAGTTAATAGTCATAACTATGATAGTTCAACAATTCAACTGTATAAAAGGAAAAGAAAAACCCAAGCGCCCACACATTCAAAGTCTGTGTTGTGTTTTCTCATGAAATGACATCTTAAAAGGTACTGTAACACCATGAAAAAGTCTGGCCCTAAAATAAGGAAGAAAACCTTACTTTAAGGGACTGGTACTACTGCTATTATATAACAAAATATTTTCAAAGAATCCATAGGAGTAGGGCTCATAATCTTAGGAATATGATGGAATCAATAGTAGAACCTTTCGGTTTGAATACAGTATACTTTCTTACCCTCCCTTATGAATGATTCCTGGAAGGAAGGAAGCTGTCTATGCCCATTCTACTTAAAGTACAAATGATTACAAAAGATAGCTTAGGGGCTATATATGTACTGTGCATACAGGTATTTTTTCCTAAATCATGTTTACTTTAGCCTGTCTTTCACCTCTGGCTCACATGTAGACTTTGTACTTATTATCTATGAGAAGTTTTTTTTTTTATGTCTTTACTGGAGTATAATTTACATACCATAAAATTCACCCACTATAAGTGTGTGTTTGACTGGTTTGTAGTAAATTTACACGGTTGTGGACTTTCATTGCAATCTACTTTTAGAACATTCCTGGAAGGGTCCTCATGCCAGTTTGTATTCCTTTCTGTGAGGTTTTTGTTACCTTTATTGTTGCATGATTAGTGTTTCCCCCGTATATGTTGTCTCACTCCTCTTTTAGGTTGCTTTGTCTAGTTGTTTTATCTAGGTATCATGGAGTCAGTTTTTATGCTTTATTTCGGTTTCTCTTAACCTTGAGTTATTATTCAACCAAGTGACTTTTTGTGAAGATTTTTAAGGGAATCAAATGACAGTTCTTAGTCCACAGGAATTTCACTGCTATTACTCCAGTCACTTCATGGCTTCTTGCACTCTGATGCTGTCGGTACATGCATGGGTGCTCCTGGTGGGAAGGTGAGACACGTGTAGAGAGTTATGTGTTAAGGGGTCTTCTCAAGTAGAGAAATCTGTCATGGCAGTGCCCCTTCCCTTTGTGCCTGCATTTGTCCTGGTTAGAAATCCAGTAGGTCAAAAGCCTCTGTGGGTAAGTGGAAGGAGTGAAGAAGGCACATATGCATATTTCTTTTCAACTTTTCTATCTATGTAGAAAGAAGTATTATCCTCCTTTCTCTCCTGTAGGGAAAAGTGAGGAGACTGGAGAGGATTCAGTGTGATGCTCTGGGGAGGATAGAATAATTGAGACACCTAAGCCATGTTGCATTCAAAAATCTTAATCTTAGTTTGCAGGGAGCAGAAAAAGAAATTGGTTTATATTCAGCCTATCTTCTCCATTTTTGTGAAAAACTTAGTAGAGCAAGACACAGTATGCTCATTTCAGAAACTTGGTGTGTGGACTGTGATCCAAGAGAGTTACCTGATTCAAAGGAAGAAGGAAGGCTTGAATGTTTTGGGGAGCTGGGAGGCCAAGGCATAGTAATGTACCAGAAATAAGTTTAATACATGTGAAATTTTTTATAGTGCTAAAATTAGAGTCCTGCAGAATAGATGATGAAAACAGGAGAAATATCCTAGTTTCAGATTCATAAAACCATGATTTTAATTCTTACCCTGATACTAGTCAATCTTGAATAAATCACTTTAACTAATCTGGGCCTCAGTTGCCTCAGGTGTTACATGAAAGGTTCACGTATCTTGATTAAATCTTTAATGTTCTTTGTGATTCAAAATTATATAATGAGGTGACAACTGAGAACATGTAAAGATGTTTATCCTTAGCCATTAGGGAAGTGCAGAATCTTAGCATCAATGCAGACATATTAAGTTTGGCATGCCTGTTAGTTTGGGGAGATGTCTGGACTAGAGGTAACAGCTGAGGAGTTATCTGTTCATAGATGGTCTGTAGTGCATGAGACTGTATGAAATCTCCAAAACATAGGCCAGACACCTGAGTCCTAGGTACATCCAAGATCAGAAATTTAGCAGATGAAGATGTAGTGAAGGAGACTGAGAAGAAGGAGCCATGAATCAGGAGGAAAACCAGTGTGGGAAGTCAAGTAGAGAAAGTCTTTCAAGGACGAAGTGATCCTTGTGCCAACTTAAAATCAAAGATAAAAACTGAGAATTGACTATTCATTTTAGCTAGATGGAGGTCACCTCCACAAAGCAGTTTCAGGGAGTGTGGAGGCAAAAGCCTGATTTGAGGCAATTTAAGAGAAAATAGGAGAAAAGGAATTAGAGATAGTAACTGTTGTTCTAAAGAAAGGCAGACACATATAACTGGGAGAGGACTGTATGGTCAAGAGGATTTTTTTAAGATTAAAGAATTTACAGAATGTATATATGCTGTATGTATATATGGGGATGATACACTAAAGAAGAAATGACACAAAAGAGTGGAGATTTGGTGGAATTGTGTCTTTGACTAGTGAGAGGGAGTGGCATCTAGTGCACAAGTGGTGGGGTCTTCGAAGGCTGGAAAATTCAGCCATTCTAATGGGAGGGAAGACAGGAGAACAAGGGCACAGCTGCAGGCAGATGGGTAAATGCACAGGCCATTAAGTTGTCCTCTTATTGTGTGGGTTTTTCAGTGTAGTAGAGAGCAGGGTCATCAACTACAAGTGAGAATGGGGGAGAAGGGATGAATTAGTCATTGAGTTTGAGTAGGCTGGAAAGATTTATCATTGACAGTTAACACTAATGACTCTTGACGTTAGTGGTCATGAACTTGGAGTGAACACAGCTTAGTTTTTTTCTCCACTCCTGTTCAGCTCCATAGGTGTAGGCCCAGAGTAGGCATTGATTGATCTAGGGATGACTTTGAGGAAGTTAGAGAATGGCAAAGGAATGAATTAAAGCTGACTTAAGAGGGAAATGAGGACATGGGGTGGTAGGGTCAGCTCAGATTGAAGAATTGTAGGGGTTGGGGTGTGAGAGGGAATAAAGAGTGGAACCCTTGATTTGAGATTATGAATGGTTTTCAGTCATGACCAGATAAAAGCCTAGACTGGAGGAGAGGAGATCAAAGAATGGTAAGGCCAAGGTAGTAGAAGGAAATCTGTGTGGATTCTAAATATGTGCTTAGAACCTGAAGACCTTATCTTTGCTAATATCCTAAGTTGCTGTTGGACTATCTGGTAACAATAGCTCTAGTACTCCTACTTGGTAAGAGTTTCATGTCTCTTTGTTTATAGCTTCTTGGTCCTTAGTGCTCTACATGATTTTCTTGGTGTTATCTTTCATTTCTCCATTGAATTTAAATTTTAGCTGTTGAATTTCTAATTTCCAAGAATTCTTTCTTCTGATTACCTTTTCATAGCACCTCTTTCTAGAAAACAAATGGTTTTTGATACTCTGCATAATTTGTGCTAATATGTATAGTTCCTGCACCAGAATATGGTTCTCTTTCTCCATTAAGATCATATCCGCCCTCAGGTATTATATTTTTATATTTAACTTTTTCTAAGTGAGGAATTACATTGTGTTAGTAGTTAACATTTCAGTATCTTTTCATTTTAGGTATCAAAAAGGAAGGATGGAAAAGAACAAAGTGAAAATGTATCACCATCTGAAGATGAAACATTCTCCTGGCCAGGTCCCAAAACAGTTATGTTGAAAAGAACATCTCAAGGTTTTGGTTTTACATTAAGGCATTTTATTGTTTATCCTCCAGAGTCTGCAATTCAGTTTTCATATAAGGTAAGAGAAATAATTAAAGTAACTTAAAACAAAAACAAAGCTATTCCTATCTCTTTCTTGTCTTCCTCTCATTGTCCCCTTATTCTTTCTATCTTAGAGGTGTTATATTTTCATTTTTATTATATTCCTTTAAGTATTTTTCTACCTTCTAGAACAGAAATTTTAATTTTCTCTGAAAGGTTATTAACTCCAAGTCTTTTTTTTTTAAGTATTTCTAATTCTGAACCATTCTACTTTTTCCATCCTGTAGCCATTTTTCTACTATCTAGAAGGCTGGTGAGGAATACAGAGGAAATTGTTGATTAAAATATTCTGGCAGTTATAAAAAGTTACTGGGATTAGAATAATACCTGACTTTAAAATATGTAATATAATGGCAAACCAGAAATTGTAAACATAGCTTCTTACCAGACTGAATTACACTTACATGCTTCACTATATATACTAACATGGGCTAGTGAGGGGCAGCATGGGATAATTATAATGGCGGCTGACACCCTGAGTGTGTGCTCTGTGTTCCTTACCATTCTTTATGAGCGTTACCTCATTTGTTATTAGCCCTATATAACGTAACTGGAAACTGGCTTGAGTCACGCAGTGAGTAAGTCGTGGACGTAGGATTTTAACTTGCCAACATGAATGCCTAATACTTAGCTGTTGTACAACAGTATAAGAAAGAATGATATTTGTAAGAGTTGTGAGACTTTGGCCAAGCCCCTTAACTTCTTTTGTCTTCTACATATCCATTTTAATTTGAGGGAATTAAATGAGAAGATTAGAAAACCCTTTCTAACTCAAAATTTCTATGACTCCAAGGCTGTCTTTTAAAACATAGTGTCAAATAGCTTCTGGAGACCACACTCTTTATTATATCTTTCCAGTAAAAGTCTGAAAGGGTAACCTTTTTAAAGTGCTGAATAGTTTTTAAGAGTTATGAACAATTGCTACTTTGGGGATTAAAATTTACCATTTTGGGGTTCCTGAAATGTCTGTAAATTTACTGAACTGGATTTTCTGAGAATCTGTTTATCCTACAATGTCTAACATAATATTCCTTATGTATTAGGGCACCTGTGAGAGCACTTGCTAATTTAGGAGTCCCGTCCTTTAAGTCCATATTAAGACTGAATCTGTTTTTGTCTTTTTACTTTGTTTTGTTTTGAAGAAGAGCTTTTGGTCATGATGAACATATTGTTAGTATAATTTCATAAGAATTTTACCAAACACAGGTTAACAATGCATTATTATTATTACTTCGGTATTGGAAAACACTTCTCGAAGTTTTAGTAACACAGTATAATTGCTAACAGCAGAGTCAAAAGAGCCTGAGTTTGCATCCCATGTCTGCCCCTTGATGGCTCTATGACCTTGGGTCAGTCACCTGACAGACAATCATGGTATCTTCCTCACAGATTTTTTTGTTGTCTAAATGATATAATATGTGTAAAACACTTAGTACAGGAGTTGGTATAGAGTAATCAGTAAACCTTAGGGGTTAATGCCAAGATTATGTAACTGAGGTATATTTGCAAATAGGTCTGTCTTATACATTTTACATGGAAAATACATGTATTGAAATTGTTTCCTTTTTAATTATGAAATTTTGTTCATTCATTTTAAAGGAGATTTTTAAAATTTATTGTATAGCTTTCAGAAAATGTGCAATTTATATAATAATGTCTTAATTATGTCACTTAGCCAGCAACCTTACCAGTCTCAGAACAAAGCTTATAACTAGAAAAAATATATGCAACTGGGACAAAAGTAGGTTTAATTCATGTAGAAAATAATACAATAATTAATGACTAGTAACACAAGAATAAACTGTGTTTTGCCTACTCACAAATGTAAACCTATTTTTGTCCCGCCCTGTATATTTGAGCATCCAAAATAAAGGTCAAAGTTGTATAATAAATTATCAGCCCTTTACTAAATGTCTTTTTTTTTTCTATAGTAGGTTGTAGCTTTCATATAAGGGGCTCAACAAATGTTTGAATAAATGTATTTGTATACTAGTTTTTCGAAGTTGCTTTTCTTATTTCCCAGGTAGAAGTGGGTAAATAGCAGCAGGACAGCCTGGTAACAATAAGTGAAGCCTGGTAACAAATAGATAAACCTCAAAATGGAATATAAGAAACTAAATAAATAGTATTTTAGAGCCACTCAATTTATATAAAGATAGTTCTGGGTCCTGTAATAGACCCTAAAGGCACATTTTTTGAAAGGATAGTATAGTAAGGGATGACTAGCCTGGCCCTCTCTCTCCCCAGCTGTCGATTCATCTGTCCAGCTACCTGCTTTTGACACCTTGACTGTGGGTGTCTCCACACTCAGTGTCAGAAACTGAACTCCTGATGTCTTCCTTCTAAGTTGGTTTCAGCCATACTCTTCCTGTCTCTCTTTATGAAGACCCATCATTCTGGCAAAAGGCACTGTTAGTGAGATTGTAATTGGCACATTTGGGGGAGGGCAGTTTGAATTTAATTGAGCCTTGCTACAATTTATAGCAAGGGTTTATAAATATGTATTCATATATGGATATGTGTTTTTTATTTCATAGGATGAAGAAAATGGCAACAGAGGAGGTATGCTATAAAAGTTTCAATTTTTCTCTGAGTATTTTTCTATTCATTTGTTTCTGTCCTTTAATACTAAATAAGATTATACAGTTTTTGGAGTTAAAATATATAACAATTCTTAGAAGTGATAGTCATAGAAATTAAGTATTTTTACTATAGATTTCAAAGTTTTATGAATTCATTGTCTCATAATTTGAACAAGTGATGATTTTATTGTTAATTACATGTTAGTGTTTATGGGGGGAATATGTCATGATTTTGAGGAAAGTAATTCTGACATTATTATTATTCAATTAGTATTCTAACTCACATTTATTTTTGTTTTAATTTTATATGAACTTTTTAAGTTATAATTTAGATGCAATTAAAAAACCCATTTTAAAAACTTGTAATTTTAGACTTAAAAAAGTTGCCACAATATGTATAAAGGAATTTTCATATATACTTCCCCTAATGTTAAACACTTATATAATCATGGTATACTTAACAAAGCTAAGAAATTAGCATCGGTATGATACTATTACCTAAATTACAGACTTTATTTGGAATTTTACCAGTGTTTCTACTAGTGTCCTTTTTCTGTCCCAGGATTCTGTGTCACATTCACTTGTCATGTCCCTTAGTCACTCCAGTGTCTCATCTTCCTGTATTTCATGTCTCTGATACTTTTGAAGAGTACAGGTCAAGTATTTTGTAAAATGCCCTTCTGTTGGGGTTTGTCTGATAGTTTCTCATCATTAGTTTGAATTTATGCATTTTTAGCAAGAATATACTAGTATAATCATCTGTGTAAAGTTTTCTAACTATGTCCTTCTACATATATTAGAAGCATATTTCTCCCACTGAAGATGCGCACATGATAGGAATGAGACCATGGAGGCTGTGTATCCAGGAGGTTGTCCAGGCATCAGCACACTGTGTTCTTTAGGATGATGGGAAGATAGAGAACCTGTGGCCTCTTTTCTCTTGCTGATCCTGGTTTTGTAAATTTTCCCTTTCCTCACTAATGCATATTTCTAACCCATGCCAAGTAACGTTTGGACTTCATCCTGAACCCTGGTGCCTGACAGATGGTGACGCAGGAGTGGCCCATCTTGCACAACAGTGACAACTATGAAAGGTCCTACTTGGCCCTACACTTTCAGATTACTTTCGATAGTGCTGAAAGAAATTATTTTCTCTCATTTTAACCCTTAAAATAACTATTCCTAGGTTTTAAGTCTTATATCAGTATTACAAAGGTTCATCAGCAGGTGAATGGGTGAACAATTTGTAGTATATCCATAAAAGGGAAAACTACTCAGCAAAAAAGAAGATAGTATTATTAGTACCTATACATACAATGTAGTGAATCTCAAAAATATTGTGCCCAGTGAAAGGCACAAAAAGTATATATTGTATTATTCCATTCAGAAGAAATTCTAGAAGAGACAAAACTAATCTACAGTGACAGAAAGCAGATTAGTGATTGCCCAGGACCAGCAGAGTACTGAGGACTGAGAGCAAAGGGGCATTGGGAACTTTATGGAATGATAGAAAGGTTCTTCTTGAAAGCAGTATCTTTACTGAAATGGGAGTTTCACAATTTATGCATTATGGAAACATTATACACTTAAAATAGGTGAAAATACACAGTACCCATAAATGCATGCCCTGCTTTGCTCTAGCTTGTGCACAGAGCCCTGCTGAGCTAAAGTATAGCACCTGTAATATACTGTGCTAACCAAACTGACCAACCACTGGATCGTACTCTGTGTGAGAAAAACTTCTCACTTGTGCACAGTTCTTAACAGGTCTGGTTTCAGAATGTAACCTATTTAGAGACAGGCTACATGTAATTTATTATTTTAATTGAAACACATTATTATTTTTAATAGTCTCATCTTTTAAAATAAATTTTCAAACATACTGAGATTACGAAATCCTTTTATGTGAATCTTGTTTTAATTAGATAGAATCCCAGCCTCCGGTGTGATGATCCAAGTCAAAGCCAAGAACCACTGGAGAGACAATAATTGCCAGGAGTGCATTCAAACTTTTCAGAGATCCTCTTAAAATGCCAGAATTCTGTGAAACAATGGAAAGGTTTTGTTTTGGTATTCTTTCTTTTTGGCAATAGAGGGGAGTCTCTGCCACTTAATTTTCTGATTCTTCTCCTTACCCAGTTTTCCATTGTTTCTTATATCCTATATAACTTTCTTGTTTTTAAAAATTTCTTTTTCATTTCTGTTGGTTAGTTTTTTGCACAGTAATGTAAATAACATTTACAACAGAAAAAAGCCAGTAGGGTAGAAAAATATTTTTTGGTGATAATATTTGCTTGTGGATAATTGCTGTTTGTTGACAACCTGTTGTTCTTAAATGTATGGAGCAAATACTCATAATCAAAATAGAAATAATTGAAAGTTTATAATTACTATTATTTTTTATTCTTCCATGAGCAAAAATTTTCTCTGTTTATTCATAGGGATATATCAGTGTTCTAAAACAGTGATTTTGAACCTTTTTCATTTCATGGCATACATAAATTCATTACTAAAATTCTGTAACACATCAAAAAATAATGTTTTTTGCTGACCTGACCCCCCCCCCCAAAAAAAAAAAGTGTTACATTGATTCATTTACACCGGCTGGCTGTTGTTGTGTTGGCTATTGTCATTTGTTTCTTTGACAGTCTAAGGGAAAAGAGGTCAGTGCCCCTGACTAAATATCCAGGTATTGCATGCTTTAAAAATTCTTGTAGCACACAAGTTGAAAATTGCTATTCTGAAATGTTATGTCATTTGTTAGCTGCTTAAGTAACTATTGGATTTTTACTTTGGCTTTAAAATTTATATTCAAGCATTTTAATAGTACAAACAAAAAGTAACTGGGGATTCTATAAATTTTCTCAGTAGTAAAACTTTATATTTTGTTAATTGCATTTTTTTCTGAATAAACAATTCCATAGCCTATTAGAGTTTTTTAATAACCAAATCTCTTTCAGTGGCAGGAATTAGAAACTCCCTCAGACCACTTCAGGAAAGATCTGTTTATTCTCAAAACCAACAGGGCATTTCCAAAATCAAAGTCAAGTCAAGGAAACCCAGGGAACCACAGACACTAGAACTGGGACCTAGGAAGCTACTAAATACAGAGTAACAACACAAAATCTTGGCTTTTGATCTTATAAAAACTCAGACTCTGTTATTTGTAGGATGATTGAAATGACTTTCAGTTTATTTTTATTATACATGATTTTCTCCTGAGCTGACTTTATATAAGGTATAGTCCTTACTGTATCTTTTTTTTCTTCCCCTGTAATTATAATACATACAAATTCCTGAGAGAGAAATCTGATTGGCCTACTTCATCATTTTATACCAGATGTACAGTACCCACTGTGTTTAGAAATCAGATGTTCTTCATTTTAATAAAGAGGTAAATTCTGTTAAGCTGAGAAAAGTGGGTATATTTTAAGCCATTAGTTTTCATTAACAGGTTAAAAATCTATTCCCTCAAATTAATATTGCACTAAAATATGGACATAAAAATTTGTTGTGAGAAGATATTTTTATTATGGGCAGGTTTAAGTCTACGGTGTAGTGGTACAGTATCAGAATCATCTGTCATCTAAATACAGCAGTACTAACTGAGCTCCATGGATCTCTTCTGATGTCTTTGGAAAGGATTATTGAGTGAGCCATTTAGGATCCATTTTTAACTGTATTGATAGTTTAAACTATTTGTGTTCCTCAGGTAGTTAGGTAAATATTCTCATTAGTGGCATATTTTTATGAATTTTTAGTATGTTTTAGAATAACCATAGGTGTCTAAAGTCGTCTTGAACATATTTTAGGAAGTAGGGATGGTGATGATGATGATGATGATGATGATGATGAAGAAGTAGGAATGATGATGATGATGGAGGTGGTGGTGGTGGTTGGTGGTGATAGTGATGATGGTAACAATGTTGGTGGTTGATGGTAATGATGGTGATAGCGTGGTGGCAGTTTACTACCACTGTGTCAGGCAGTGTACTAAGACTTCCATGAACTGATGTATTTAATCCTCTCAACAACTTTCTGGGGTTAGGAGGCAGATATTATTACTTCTATTCTTAGGGGAGGAAACTGGAGCACACAGTTTTTATATGACTAGCAAATGGCAGTGTGGAACTATGAACTCAGGCAATCTGGTTCTAGACTTTTCTATCAATTTCTGCTATGGCTTCTCAGAGAGTTCTTTCTTCTCACATGATTCACTCTTGAAAACCTGTAAGAAAGATGACTGTGTCCCCTTGAAGGGGAAGGAGTGCTAAAAAATCCTTAATTCAATTTCTAGATACAATTTGGTTAATGTAGTAATTAGCATTTAATACTTGTTCTTAAAGTTTCTTCTTTATCTTTTAATTGAACAATGTCCTGTTGGTGTTAGTCTGTTGAGCTTAAGGATAAAGCATTATTACTTTATTATTTGTAATTGATTTACATTTTTGAGTCAGTTATAATTTTGATACCTAACTTTTTGGTATTGTTTTTCACTTAGTTTTATGAAATGATAAGGGCACTCATAGGAATTTACTAAAGATAAATGAAACATTGTCTGGAAAAAATATTTATACAGGCATGTTCATAGCTGTTTTATTCATATAAATAAACATGGGATTCAACCTAAATATTCATCAATGTAATGAATAGATAACCAAATTGAGGTGCATCCATATATGGTAATACACTCAGCATTATGGATCAGTTCCATTAACATTTCTATCATTGGTGGAATCCATATAACATCAAATTTGCTATTTCAAAGTGAACAATTCAGTGGCAGCTAGTACAGAATTAAAGGACCTATGTGCAGTGTTGTGCATCTGCCACCTCCGTGTGGTTCCCAAACACTGCATCCCCCTGAAAGGAAACCCATGCCTGTTAAGCAGTTGTTCAGTATTCTCTCCTAAGTCCTTGGCAACCACCAATCTGTTTTCTATCCATAGGGACTTATTATGGATAATTTCATATAAATGG